ATGTGCGTTTTACCGCGAGTGAACACTGACATCTGTGCTCGGGTTTTGCGGTTAAAATCCCCGCAGAGCTTGGCTTTTCGCTTAATCAAATGCATCTCCGATTGTCCTCACAGTGTGTTCCTTTCATTAACCCTTTTCATTCATTCACCGAGCTCACTTTGGCCAGATTTTTTCCATTTGTGCCACATTTTCACATGATACTGCATTCAAAGAACAACAAAACAAGTTGCAGGGATTAACGTTGTCCAATGCTACCTCGGTGGTTTACGTGTTTATGCTCTCAAGCATTCTGTCCATACATTATCGCAGATCTCGGTTACTAAAAATGTTAACTACATTGGGCAGAACTCACATTCAGGAGTCCTGCTTTGTGCCATCTCGTTAATGGTTTTTGTTCTCAGCATTTTAGAGGAAGCTTTTACAGTCCTTTTATTTCAGGACCGAAGAATACTGACAATCGTAATTATCTTATTTGGGTTGCATGACAGATGAGAGTAGGAAAATATGCATTTTTTTCAATCCTGAAATTTGGTTTCAATGGCTTTGGTCTTTTTCACCTCCATCCCATGTACAGTCAAAATAGTATTATCGGTCTCCGTAGTATGATCTCACGTCAAACAATGCAACTATTCTCTTTTGGAATATTTTTTGCCTTCATTCATCTGGTTTACTGTGTGATTAATTAGTATTCGACCCTACTTACCCCCGTCTCGCTCTACAGAATAGTACCGCCAATCCTACCAATAATCAACGCAACATACCTGGCATATTCTTCAGCTATGACACTTTCCCATTACTTGTGAAGGTCACTGAAACGCGAGATCTGTTGGGCACTTTTCTCGCACGATTGGCCGCACTGGCTGGCGGGTTATTCGCGACTGTGGGTCTGATTCGTCAAGCTGTGTGCGGAATTCCGGAGATTGTAATGAACACACGACCAGGTCGCCGTTTTCAAACGAACTGGAAACGTTACCGGCGTGCTTTGAGCGAAAAACTTTCTACCGAGGGAAAAGGTATGGTTGAGTCGGAACCACCACTTAACCCTGATTCAGACACCTAAGGCCCTGCTGTGCAAATCAGTCTTTCCGTTATTTCATTACCTGTATCTTGAAGTCAAAAGTGGATTTTGTTTCCGTGCAGTCTTGGTTTTTCTCAACGCCCAGGCTCCTCTTTGCCTGCAGTTTGCTGTGATATTTCTGTCGGAGATAACTTTTATTCGGCCCAGTGTATTGAGCATTGCACCACCTACGCTGTATATTCGCTCCAAAGGTTTTTTGGACACATGGATGTTTTGTTCTTGTTTGTGTCGGAATTTGTTGTTATCTGTACCCTCTCGATATCTGTTTGTGTTTCGTTTATTAAATAATCATTTCTTTCACTTCACGATAGTCTCATCATTGCTTGCACCTACTGTTATCCCACGTTTCGTACGAACTTACCCGTCTATGGTCTGGGATAGGCTAACATGTAGTATTCTGTTTAAGTTCATGGGGTACCTACGGACCGATCTTGTTCCGACGTTGAGTGACCGCACAAATCCGCGTACGGGCGTTAACTTGGAACAAGCTCTGAGGAGTCATGCTACGTGTTCATCATCTCTATAAGGCTGTTTTGCTGCCGATTCCGAGAAGTCTTTGATTTGTTCCTGACGTGTCGGCGTTATTGTTATGTTCTTGGTTAAATGTACGATCGACACGACTACTCGCACCTAGCTCCCAATAATGAACAGTCATCACTGGAGAACAGGGCTCAATGTATCCTATGGTAACGATGCGCGATGCAAATATAATTGGGTAAATATTAAAAATCGGTTCTCGTAGCTCGGTAGAACCGAATTCCATTCTGCCTGTTCGCTGAGCTTGGCAATTTGTTTGCAAACGTTTTATCACCAGCAGAGGTGACATCATCAGTGCTTGTGATGATGTCACCTCGGGTGGGGAACAGGCGAAATGGAATAATTGGGTAAATTGGGCGCACGAGAACGACATGGTGACACGCCAAACAGATCTCGTCCTAGACACTGATCGGTCGATCGGACGACAGCTATCAGATTTCCTTCAGTCATCCGATCCGGAATCGACTGGCCTTGGGCGTCGCGATCGTGATTGTGGTGTGACGCGGATCCGTGCTTGGTTTGATAGGTTCTGTGAGTTCCGTCCTAACAGTTATAAGTTAATTTTCCCTGGTCTAATCACTGAATTCTGTTTGTATGTCGTTCATAGGTCGGGGTGTTTACCCAATTGATTGTCTGTTTCCGGCACGGTATCGGGTAATCTTTTTTGATAAGTTAGGATTACCGCCATTGCCTACCTGTTCATCGTTTTATTTTCCAGTCCGGTAATTATATTTTCTGCGCATCGGCACAGATTTATTCAGCATCGCCTGGGCATTTAAAAAAAATAAAAACTTCAGAGACTAAGGTATATCTCATTTTCTCATATTTTTAACTGAGCGGTTTTGCTTATCACTAAGTCTAAGCTTGTGTTGATTCAGAAGTGCACTCGCAACTTGCAGATATCGGATTCCTCAATTTGATCATCCAACCCATAACTTGCACTCGGAAAGAGATCAGTACACTCCGTAAGGCAACAGCATTTTTATTCATTATGTTATCACCGCAGGTTGAATGACGCTATTGTAATCGCATCGATCCTTGTTACGCAAACTTTCATATATTCGTGGTACTTCGGTGGCTTTTGGTACTTGTACTGGAGTGTAACTCCGCTGGAATGAACCCCTAAGCGATGGTGGCACAGTGGTTTAGTCGCTATCACTGGTGTGCTCTGGGCCCAATGATCTGATGTTCGAGCCGCGCCACCATCACCTAACTTTGGTGTTAGCTTTGCTGTTAGGCTCAATATCGT